TGAGTGAGCCGACACCTGCTCCCTGAGCACTGGGCCCCCCTCCCCCAACCTGGCAAGGACAGGGAAGGACAGGGAGGCAGAGGCAGAGGCAGACATGGAGGCAGAGACAGAGACATGGAGGGAGACACAGCCAAGTAGGCTGGAGAGGTGGAGATCCAGTCACGTGATCAGCCTCAAAGCCCAAGACGGAGAAGAGAGGCACAGAGATGCCAAGATCCGGACATTAGAGAGAGGGAGACTCAGAGGCACACAGAGACCCAGAGCACGGGCGTCCGGAACTGCAGAAACAGAAGAGATCAAGGATGCAGCTCCTCAGCCTCCCTTCCTCTCTCCCTCCCTCCCACTCTAGAGTTTCCAGCCCCAGCTGTGCCTCCCCCACATACCCAAAGCAGAGTTCTCCTGGCCCTGGGACTGGAAGCCAGCCTCCTCCTCACAGCTGGCTGTGTGTGGACACGTGTACATGCATGTGCGCATCTGTGTGACGCACTGGGCTAGTGCTTACCTTGTACACAGCCCTCCCTCATTAAACACCTCCTCTGCCCACCACCACTGTTCACATTTTCACAGGCCCAAATCATGCACACCTTTACACACCTGCCACACAGCCAGCCACACTCATTCAAGTCCAGAAACATGTCCTGGGCCTCCCTCTCTCAATCCTATCCACAAAGGGCCAGAAGACCCAGCACACACAGCCCCCCCAGAAAGTCTCTCCCCATCCTAAGCTCTGCGGGTCAGATGTCCACCCCTTCCCCCACTCAGCAACCCTCGAGGGGCTCGAACCCCTGCCATTCACAGGGAAAAACCCATAACTAAATATGTCAATTCCATCAGACTAGACACTCAAAGGCAGGGCCCCTGACTGTCCTGCTCACTGCTGATTCCCTAAGTGCCTTCGACGGTGCCTGGAAGGTGCTTAAGAAATGTTTGAATGAATGTGTTCACACCAGGTCTCTCAGAGAACCCATAGTAATTGACAGCCACTCGGAGTGAAAAACACGAATGGATACGACAGTGTACATACAAGAAGGCATCATATGCACACCTAGGACAGTACACTAAATACAGGTGTGTGTGACACTTAGCTCAACAGCTCAATTAGAGGTTATCCAGTTGGCTGTGCATTGGAACCACCCAAGAAGCCTTCACAAATCCCCATGCCCAGGCCCCACCCCAGACCCATAAAATCGGAATATTTTTGGGTAAGACTTGGGCATCGGCATTTTGAAGCTCTCCAGGCAATTCCTTTCTAGGATCTAGAACCCCTTATGTACATGAAGAGACTAACAAGTGTTGACACAGGGGTTATAGCCCGGGATGGGAGTAGAGAGGATTTTCACTTTTTTTTTTTTTTTTGAGATGGAGTCTGGATCTGTCACACAGGCTGGAGTATAGTGGTGCCATCTCGGCTCACTGCAACCTGTGCCTTCCGGGTCAAACGATTCTCCTGCCTTAGCCTCCCGAGGAGCTGGAACCACAAGCGTGTGCCACCATGCCCAGGGATTTTCACTTTTAACTGTACAGTGAAGCACAGACTTCTGAGCCAGACTGCTTGGTCTGTACTCTGGTGTCACCACTTAGTAAGTTCTGGTTTGAATGTACTCACTGAGTGGTCTTCATAAATTCTCTCTGCACTTGAGTCTCCTGTCTGTAAAATGGGGATAATAATCATTAAAAAGAAGCCTCATAGGATTCTGGTGGAGACCAAACGCATTAACATATATACAAAGTGTTTGGAACAGCATATAAGTGCCATATATCTATTATTAAAAATTTTAAATTATAGAATGGATTTTTGGATTTTATAAGCAGATTCCCCCCTCCCCCCAAAACTGTGAAAAGCAAAGGAGGCCAGGTGCAGTGGCTCACGCCTGTAATCCTAGCACTTTGGGAGGCCGAGGCGGGCGGATCACGAGGTCAGGAGTTCAAGACTAGCCTGGCCAGCATGGTGAAACCCTGTCTCTACTAAAAACACAAAAATTAGCTGGACGTGGTGGCAGGCACCTGTAATCCCAGCTACTTGGGAGGCTGAGGCAGGAGAATTGCTTCAACCTGTGAGGTGGAGGTTGCAGTGAGCCAAGATTTTGCCACTGCACTATAGCCTGGGCGACAGAGCAAGACTCCGTATCAGAAAAAAAAAGAAGAAAAAGGGAAAAAAATTTAAAGAAGAAAAGAAAAGGTTGGGCATGGTGGCTCACACCTGTAATCCCAGCACTTTGGGAGGCCAAGCTGGGAGAATTGCTTGAGGTCAGGGGTTTGAGACCAGCCTGGGAAACATGGCAAGACGCCATCTCTAAAAAGCAAAAATAAAAGAAAAATACAAAAAGGGGGGAAAAATAAAGGAAGGGCTTAAAGCCTAGGCCAACCTACTTCTGCCACTTTCCATGTGAGCTTTGGACCAGGCCCTTACTCTGTGTCTGGGAACCTGTCTTCTCATTTGTAAACCAAGTGAGCATCTTTCTCTACCTCAAGGATTGTTCGAAGAATAAACACCTCAGGGAAGTGTTTAATAAATGATGGCAAAACCCACGTATCTGAGAACCACATTGCCTTGATGCATTCTGGGATCAGGTGTGGCACTGTGGTGGCAGTAGGGCCCCGACCTCTGAAAAGAACAGATCAAAACAGAGGTGCCCCAAACCTGCACCATACACTGTGCAGCGTGTCTGCTGCCCTTGCCTAAGGGCACAGAGAACGTTCCATCCCAGAGGCCCTGGTCCATCTCCTGAGTCTGGTCTCCAAAGTACACCACGGCCCGCCTCACCCCTTCCTAAGCAGCAGACCCTAGGCTGAAACCTCTCCTTTCCCTGAGCGCCCATTCCCTTCCTGCCCCTCCCTTCCCATCTCCTGGAGCCCCTGTTCTCACCAAGCCTTCCTCCCATCGCTTCCCTCTCGCTATGCGCCTCTTTTCATAGTGAACTCTCATCTTCCTTTGAGTTAAGGGGCTCCTTCACTGTGCCATTATCACCTCGTCAAACTCCCATTTCCTTCCTGGGTCTTGTCTCTCTGCCCCAGTTCCAGAGCCCTGGGGCCCACAACCCTTCACTGCCCTTCCTCTCCCTCTCAAGTTCCTCTCCTATCTCATGTTGAGCCCCAGTCCCTTCCACTGAGCAATCCACCATTGTCCCCTCCCCTCCCCGAAACCTCCTTTGGGCCGCCACCTCTCTGAGCCCTCAGCTGGACTCGCCAGGCCCCACTCTGGTTCCCCTAACGCCAACTGGGCCCAGCCTGCCCCACCTGGAGAGCCTCCTCAAGTCTCTTCTGCTTCCTCAGCAGCTGCTGCACACAGGCATTTTCTCCCTGCAGGTGACTCTTGGGGCTGAACACAGGCTTCTCTTGGGTTGGCCTATCTCAGCCTCACCCACTGCTTTCTCTGATGCTCCCTACCCGCTGCAATCAGGCTCCACCCTACCCAGAGTGACCTTGCCAAAGCCCTCTCCCCTCCCTCAACACAGGGTGTGCCCAACAGAGCTAACTGCATGTGGCTCTTGCCTCCTGTTAGCCTTTCGAATCTCTGGGCCTTTGCACATCCTCTTCCTCCTCCAGGAACTCCCTCCCAGCACCTTAGGCTTGGCTCCATAAACACTTTCTCCTGGGAGAAGCCCTCCTCCCTAACTCTCAGGGAGTCTCACTGCTTCTTGCCCCCACTTCCAGCTCCATACTGCATCGTTAGCTTGAGTGTAGTGTTGTCTTCCCCGTCAGCAGTCAGGAAGTGTAGGGTAATGTCTTCATCTCTGAGTCTGGGGGATGCAAGGAGGGGGCTTGGTGGGTGGATGAGCCTTTTACATCCAGCACAGAGGCTACAGTTTCAGGGGACTGTGGTCTGAGTCCTCCTGCCTCTTCTTGCAGACAGGTGTGCCCAGGTGTGTTTCCTCCTCAGACCACGGGCTCCTCTGACTCTCCTGAGGCCAGGGCCTAGCTGGTTGGGTCAGGGAGGGCAGGCGCTGTGGTACTACCCCTTGACGTCTCCCTGAGCTTCACTGAGGAGGGACATGAAGCCACACTCAGCAGAACTTAAACATAAAATGGGTCTATGGGAAAAACTGCTTCCCAAAGACCAGGGAGGCCAAAGTGGGCACCATTTGGGCAAGGGCACCCAAGAAGTCCCCAAAGTCAGGGATCAGGAAACAGCTCAGCTCTTCCAGCCCACCAGACGCAGGCACACGGTTAGTTTTCTTCTTCCACAGTTTACCAAAGCTGGGAGGAAACATTTGGAGTTCAGGGTAGACAGAAAGGGGAGGGCAGAGCAACGCTGGGGTGACTGGCCTGATGATATCCCAGGTTCTGCATAAGCAGATGTGGGTATATTGGGGTAAAATGAAGGGCCTGGAGGCAGAGAAGACTGATGACCCGGGGCAAATGGGAGATACACAGACAGGGGGTACTCCACTCTTAGTGGGAAAGGGAGGCCCCATGAGGGTTCCTGGACTTACAATGGAATGAGTGTCGCCAAGAGAGGTGTCCCTGAACCAGAGTAGAACTGTGAGGCCCAAAAGCCATGAATACACAGGACACACAAAGGGACTCCAAAGTACACCATGGACCTTGGATGGAATAAGGGGATCCAGAAGCAGGAGCCCCAAACTCTGGCCCATGATGGAGGTTCCTCAGGGAGAGGAAATCCAGGATTTGGGGAGACCTTGGACTTGGATAGAATATAGGGTCTCAGAGTCAGAGGAGACCCAGGACATAGGACAAAATGAAGGTCCAAGAGGTAGAATCCCTGGACCTGGGACTGAATGCACGATCAAGGGCCAGGATGTCCTTGGTAGCAGAGTGGGGAGCTCAGAGGCAGGGGAGACCCAGGGCCTGGAGTGAAATGGGGGGGAACCCAGATCCAAGGGTGACCAAGATCTCAGGCAGAAGGGAGAACTCAGTGGCCGGGAACACATGCAGGTATTTCAACTCCTCTGGAGAACCAGTAGCTGGTGACAAAACGCAGCGGTGTCCCTTCCATGGCCCTCCACCCCCACTCCCCCTTTCACAAGACACAAGGTTGGTTTTTTTTTTTTTTTTTTTGCTTTTTTTCATTTCTTTTTAATACAAACTTGGATCTTTGGGTGTGTCCTGCCAACAGAAAACAACAACAACAACAACAGAAGAGAAAACCCAAAAGAGTGAAAAATAAGAAAGAAAAAAAAAGCTCCCGCAAGAGGTTCTTCTCCCTCCCCCCCCACCATGCGAATTTGCACACCACGGGACCACAGCAGGTTTACAGAATGCAATATACAATCCACGATTTATAATAAAACAGTATATACAATAAATAGGATATTGTTCATTTTTGTCAAACGACCTGTAGATAAATTTCTCAGTGCATACTTGCAGGGGCTCTGGACACCTCGGGGCCCCGCTCGCAACCTCTTGCACACGCTCGCTCTCTCGCTCTCTCTCTCTTTTTTTTTTGTCTTTTTCTAAAACTGTGTTTTGTTTTTAAGTTTTGTACATTTTTAAAAAGTATTTACAATTGCTGGTTTTGTGCAGAAAGGGCTCACCTTCGGCTTCTGCGTGGAGGAGATGGGCGGGAGGGGGTGGAGGGAGATGGGTCTGCAAGGGGCGTAGGGGGCAGGGTGGGAGGCAGAGGGGCAGGCGCTCCTGCCAAAGGACGATGTGGACGCTGGGAGGGATCTTGGCGTTGGTTTTCTGAAAGCTGCAAAGAAACACAAGAGAAGAGGCAGGAGTGAGCGGCAGGCATCGACTGCTCTGAGATCAGGAAAGTGAAGAGGGAGACCCTCACCCAGCTCCTCCTAGGATTTGTCCGGGAAAGCTACCCATTGTTCTTTCTCCTGAAAACTCAGACCTGCCTTCTCTGAGCCCAGTTTACCCATCTGTAAAACATGCATGTCCAAGCCCCAAACCACAGGGTGAAGCAGGTGCTGGTTGAGGAGCTGGGGTTCCAGGCAGTGGAATTTGTTAAGAGCTTGGGCTCTGGAATCAGACACAGCTGAGTTCAAATACCAGCGCTACCCTTTAATAGCACTATGACCTTGGGCATGTTGTTGGACTTCTGTGAGCCTCAGTTTGCCCATCTGTAAAAAGAAGATAACTGAACTACCCCACTGGTTTGTTGGGAGGACTCAGTGATATAGGGCAGAGGAAGCCTGGTCCTTAAGTGCATAATAAATTATACTGATTACTATTCATTATTATTTTTCTGGGGCAGTTGGGCTCTCCAAACCTGCCTCCTCATGTCATGATGAGTTTAGTAATTCCTCCAACTTAGGCTGTTCTGAGGAATGACATCATGGGGAGGGCAGGGCCTCAGCACACAGCACAGGTGTGAACCACTGCTTTTATTTCTTCTAAATCCAATCCTCTTCTTACCAATGCCATTTTGTTCCTTAGAGAGGTGAGGTGAGGAGGAAGTCTTTCTCAGTGAAGGAACAGAAACTGCCCAACACAATGCCATCTGTGTTTGGCTTAACCCTGCCTTCCTGAAGCTCAGACACTCCCAAGCTCCCAGTTCCTCCCATCGCCAGACACTCGAGATTGGAAGTACCCCTTTTTCCCAGACAGTTCTCATTATGCTTGCGGGGCCCTGGGGATCTGACTTCCCTACCCAGACCCCCAGCTTGGCTAGACCCCCTGGATTCACAGCTCTGCTAGGGTGAGTGAGAAGGTCCCCTGAAGGACAGGGTTGGGCTCGGGACTTCCTAAGAGCTCCAGTCATTAGCCTGGTCCTTTCAGACTTCTGTCCTCCTCTCAGAGCCCCGAGACACACATCTCCCACCCTCAGTGTGCAACCATCTCCATCCGAATTAAGGGGCGAGGTGAGGATGCTGAAGCGGCCTCCTCAGGTTCCTTAGGAGCCCATCCGTCCTCCCCCACACCAGCAGGAGCCAGGCGGCGACAGAAAGCCTTTCCTCCCTTGTACTTTCTTGGCTTTCCTTTCTACCAGAGCCACATTTAAATTCTGCTCAGCCTCGGCTGCTGTCTGCTGGGCAGTCAGCCCCAGGGACGACTTTTGTCCTGAGGCTGGACTTGCCAGGACTACCCCAAGGTCCAGGGGAACCAGGTGGGCTCCTGCAGAGGCAGGGCGGCACCCTATTCTGGTGGATCAGACCAGGTGGCAGGCAGAGGCATGGGAGAGAAGAGCTGCATCTTTGTTAAGCTGTCAGGTCGCCTGCAGTTACAGGAGGATGGAATACTAGCCGCAGGGGCGAGCGGTGTGCCTGGGAGGGTGACAGCTGTGCTGCAATGGGGTGATAGGTAGAAAAGCAGCTCTTGGGGCAGGGGCTGCTGTTGGGATGAATGCAAGCTCTCCATAGTCAGGCGGTAAACAGGCTGCAGAGACAAGAGGGGTGTGTATTAGGGAGCAGAAGGATTTTATCTGGGGTAACTGCTTGAACCAGAGGGCTGGGGGCATCTATCCAGAGGACAGCTCTATTGCGGTTGAAGAACAGTTGCCAAGCTAAAGAACCTCTGTTGGGGTGTTGGGTGACAAGGGAAGGGGACTTTAGGATGGGCTGCTCCAAACCACTGGCAAACTGATATTGTCCAATGCCAGCCTCCTCTGCTCCCTCCAAGGGCCCTGGGGCAGGCTGGGAGCCTCTGCATAAATCCCTGCACCCCCACCCCCACCCCCGGCCCTTAGCCACTGCCAGTGACCCTCTCTAAGCCAGGTCTCCATGGTGATCTCAGCCCAGCAGGCGGCTCCTGCCAGAACCATTCCCGCGGTGCCTGCGGCCAGGCAGCAGGAGGCTTTCTCACCCTCTGCTAAGCCGCCCATCGCGTCTCACCTTCCTCCTCCCACTACCCTCCCCAGCTTTCAGGACTTGGCCAGCCAGAGACTTTGGCAGAATCTTCAGGATGGGAGGGAGTGGGGGAGGGGGGAATCAAAGCCCAAAAGCCCCAGGGTTCTCATGGAGGTGGGAGGAGAATGCTGTGGCTGTGTGGAACTCTGACCTCACCAGGTTCAGCTCTCCACAAAGCAGGACCAGACACTAACACGCAGCCCAGTGCTAGGCACTGGGGACAAAGCAGAGACCAAGACCGATCTGGTTCCTGTCCTTGAGAGGCTCGCAGATAGAGAGGAAAGCAAAGCAGACCCCAAACCAGGTAATTACCATGCAGGGAGATGGTGGCTGTGCCACGGAAGGTCCTGGGGAGGCAGCTAACCTGGTCATGGCAGGAGAGACTGTGGCTCTTCAACCACTGAACACTGCCCAGCATATGCTGGGGCTGAGACATGCGCTGACTGAATGACAGAGCAGGGACTGACCTGAGTCTGGTCAGCATGTCAAGGTCCAGCTCGGGCCTTGCACACCTTCAGAACACCTCCTTATACCACCCTGTTACCATAGCTACGGTACCCTTGTCATCCCGACCTGGCTCCTCCAGGGCAGGAACCTGTATGTGGTACTGCTGCACACCCAGCACTAGCACGCAGCAGCCCCCAGCACACCAACCACTGTTACGCAGACTTCACCTTCTAGTGCCTCTGTGACACACAACTGCAGAGTCACATTCCTCTGAGTCCTCACGCTCCGGTGGTTTCACCATCTGAGGTGCCAGGGCATTAAGTGGTCTCTGCCTGTCGGGGGGGGCATTGGCAGCACTGAGGGACAGCTGAGCAGAGATTCAAAGTGCTGCAGAGCACATATAAATCAGGTTGTCCAGAGAGGGCTGCTCTCCTCCAAAAAGGAATCTATATTTGTGCTTTCATTTAAGCAACCAGCAAACATGTATTCATGCCCACTGGCTGCCAGGACATGAGTTAAGGTCTAACCTCTACTATCTGGTCTCTACTCTCTTGAAAGGGTCCAATGTCAAACAAGGCAGTAGAGCAGAAGGCAAAAAGAGTGCATGAGGCCGAGCAAGGTGGTTAACGCCTGCAATCCCAGCACTTTGGGAGGCCGAGGTGGGTGGATCTCTTGAGGTCAGGAGTTCGAGACGAGTCTGGCCAACATGGTGAAACCCCATCTCTACAGAAAAAATACAAAAACTGGGCCGGGCGCGGTGGCTCACATCTGTAATCCCAGCACTTTGGGAGGCTGAGGTGGGCAGATCGTGAGGTCAGGAGATCAAGACCATCCTGGCTAACACGGTGAAACCTGTCTCTACTATAAATATAAAAAATTAGCCGGGCGTGTTAGTGGGTGCCTGTAGTCCCAGCTACTCAGGAAGCTGAGGCACGAGAATGGCGTGAACCCGGGAGGCAGAGGTTACAGTGAGCCGAGATCATGCCACTGCACTCCAGCTTAGGTGACAAAGTGAGACTCCCTGTCAAAACAAAAACAAAAACAAAAACAAAAACAAAAACAAAAACAAAAACAAAAAACCAACACACACACACACACACAAAACTAGCCAGGTGTGGCGGCACACACCCTGTAATCCCAGCTACTTGGGAGGCCAAGGCATGAGAATTGCTTGAACCCGGGAGGTGGAGGTTGCAGTGGGCTGAGATCGCACCACTCCGCTCTAGCCTGGATGACAGAGCAAGACTGTCTCAAAAAAAAGAAAAAGTCTATGTGAATTTGAGAGACTGATTTCCTGTGTGACCCAGAGTAAGTCCCTTCCCTCTCTGGGCTTCAGTTTTTGTTTTTTTTTTTGAGACAGGTTTTCACTCTATCACCCAAGGTAGAGTGCAGTGGCACAATCATGGCTCACTGCTACCTCCACCTTCCAGGCCCAAGCGATCCTCCCATCTCAACCTCTTGAGTAGCTGGGACTACAGGCACACATCACCATACATGGCTAATTACTTTATTTTAGTTTTTGTAGAGGCAAGGTTTCATTATGTTGTGCAGGCTAGACTCAAACTCCTGAACTCAAGCAATCCACCTGCCTTGGCCTCCCAAAGAGCTGGGATTACAGGTGTGAGCCACCGTGGCAGCCTGAGTTTCTATTCTATAAAATAAGGGAGTTGAACAGGTGATGGGCGAGATCTTCAGGCACTGGGATGGTGCCCCAAAGACAAAGAGTCAGGGGCAAACCACAGAGGCTCAAAGCCTGATCCATCCCTGTAACATTTTAAGGCAGCCAGGCCTCTGAGTTACCTCCATGTGGAGAAGATACTGCTTCCTGGGGGCTCAGCCCACAACTGGTATGCAGAAATACCGTTAGAGAGGTGGACCTGGAATTCACTGAATTATCGATGAGGCTGGGATTACAGGTGCGCGCCACCACACCCAGCTAATTTTTGTAGTTTTAGTAGAGACAGGGTTTCACCATGTTGGTCAGGCTGGTCTCGAACTCCTGACCTTGTGATCCACCCACCTGGGCCTCCCAAAGTGCTGGGATTATAGGCGTGAGTCACTGCTCCCGGCCTGAGAATTTTTTCAAATGTGTGTCCACTACTGACCAGAGGTGCTCCTTAAACTCTAGCTCTGCCAGCCATTCCCTCCTTAAGGTTCTTTCCCTGTCTCCGCAGCTGTGGGGCAGTAGGACCAAATGGGGTTCCCCAGCCTTGTGTGACCCTGTGTCTCCACCAGCTCTCAGAGCCTCACATTCCTTACCTGTCCTGGGAGGAGGCTAGCCTCACCTCCTCCATCTCTCTCTTTCTCTCTCTCTCCCCCTCTACCCTGTGGCTGGAGATGCCATATGTAAAGACAGGTGTTCCTGACAGGTTTGTGTCGGACACGCAACTGAAGTGGAGGCTGAGGAAAGAGCAAGAACCATGGAACCAGGCAATCCCCAGGGGCCCTTCCTGGCTCTACCTTCCGTGCTTCAATGACCAGGTGGCTCTGAGTCCTTAGGCGAGGACCCTTCCCTCTCTGTAAACCGGAGGGATTGTGCTTGGAGACATCCACAGGCCCAGTGAGCCCTGAAAATTTGAACTGGTCCCTGCCCTTCTATTAGGAGCACTTCCTGATGACAGGGTGAAATTGTCCCATCCCGTTCCCCAGGGCTTAACCTTTCCTCTTAGAATTCTCCCTATTCTACATGCTTTTCTTCAACTCAAGTTTAAAAAAAAACAAAAAACCTGAAATGTCCCAGGCATGATGAGACACTGGGTGGGGGAGGGGAGGACGGTGCCCAGAGATGAGTAATCGCCCTAAAGGAGTTGATGGCGTGGCAAGGAGGGCATTCCCAGGAAGGGCTGTCACGGATGCAGAAAGGGTGAGAGATTAATTGGGCCTGAGAAGGACTCTGGAATGCTTCTTGGAGGAAGTGATGTCTGAGTGAAAGATAGGAGCTGACAGGTGGGAGATGGGGTAGGAAAGGGCCACCCAGGCCAGGAACAGCAAAAGCACAGGGCACCTTTGGGAGCCAGCCCTCCCAGTGCTCCCGCCTGTTTCCACACATGCTCCTGGCTGTTAAGGGAGGGTGTGTGTGAGGAAGATCGGGGCTGGAAAAAAGGTTGGATGCCAGGACGGAAGCCTGGAATACCTTGAATACCATACTGGGAAGCTGGGCCTTTATTTTGTAGGCAAGGAAGGAGGCTGGAGAGGGAAGGATGCAATCAGAAGGTGTAGAGCAATGGAGTCACAGGAGCAGATGTGTTTTAATCAATTCATCCAATAAATATTTTAGGGACTCCAGACACTGTGCATCTAAAAATGCTTAAAAAAAAAAAATTCCCCAGCACTTTGGTGGCCATATGGGGAGAATGAACTGGGGGGCTGGGGGTGGGGTACATGCCTGGAGCAGGGAGGGAGTTGGGCCAGAAACTCAGGTGGCTGAGCTAGAACTAAAGCCTCTGAAGTCTCAAATTTGTCAAGACCCATTTCCTGCCTCCAGGAATCTCCTGCTGCCTGCTCTGCTCACAATGGTTTTAGAGGGTGGTCCCTGATCCTTCTCGTGGGAGTGTCCCAGGCCCTGCTCTACACAGTGATGCTCGTGTGGAGGATTTTTTAAAAAAATTTTTATTTATTTTTTTTTGAGACGGAGTCTTGCTCTGTTGCCCAGACTGGAGTACAGTGGTGTGATCGTGGTTCACTGCAACCTCCGGCTCCCAGGTTCAAGCAATTCTCCTGCCTCAGCCTCCCACGTAGCTGGGATTACAGGCACACACCACCACACCTGGCTAACTTTTGTGTTTTTAGTAGAGAGGGGGTTTCACCATGTTGGCCAGGCTGGTCTCGAACTCCTGGCCTCAAGTGATCTGCCCGCCTCGGCCTCCAAAAGTGCTGGAATTATAGGCGTCAGCCACTGTGCCCAGCCCATGTGGAGGTTTTTTTTGTTTTTTTTTTTTGAGATGATGCTCTTGTCATCCAGGCTGGAGTGCAGTGGCACGATCTTGGCTCACTGCAACCTCTGCCTCCCGGGCTCAAGCAGTTCTCCTGCCTCAGCCTCCCGAGTAGCTGGCACTACAGGCACCTGCCACCATGCCCGGCTAATTTTCGTATTTTTAGTAGAGACGAAGTTTCACCACGTTGGCCAGGCTGGTCTTGAACTCCCCACCTCAGGTGATCCTCCCGCCTCGGCTTCCCAAAGTGCTGAGATTACAGGTGTGAGCCACTGCGCCCGGCAAGGAGGTTTTAAACAAACACCTGTAAAAGGCTGCAAGCCCTGTGGGGGCAGGGCACTGCCTGTCTTGCTCAGTGATACCCTCAGAACTGGATACAATGCCTGGCCCCAAGCAGGTCACTAGCTCATGTGTGTGAACATAGAATTCATCTACTTCCCCCAGCCTTCCAGCACAAACGCAGTGCCCTATGGCAGCAAAGGTTATGCTGACAAAGATGGCACAACTGCCAAGGGAAAAATCATGACATATTACAGTCACGAGAAAATATTTTTCATATTTGCAGTGGGGGAGAGGATTGGTGTGCATAACTGTGATGACAGGGTTTCTAGCTGAGCCAGGTCATTTTGTCCTTGGGTTCCCCAGGGAGGACTCGGCCCAATTGCTAAAGCAAAGAACTAGGTGCTATCACAAAGCCTCCCCCAAGGCCCCAAATCCACACTAGAATACAAGCTCCTTCCTAGGAGGGGCACAGGCGAGGGAGGGCCGGCTCTGTGGTCCTGCGCGAAGGTACAAGAGGCGAGGGTTGGAGGTGTGTGACTCACACAGGCTGGTCAGAGGCCCCAGAGTTCAGCCTCTGCAGGGTATTTACCTACCCATCACCAGCCACTGACTACGTGCTCACTGTGTACCAGGGACCTGGCCAAGGGTTTCACGCGTAATCTCGTTTAATTCTCACAAGAGACGCAGAGAGGTGACGTGACTCATCAGGTGACATGACTCACCAGGTCACCTGGCTGGTAAGGGATGGAACTGGGTTGTGCATAGAGGCCTATCTGTGTCCACAGGCAGGCTCCCAGCCACCACCCTCCAGTTCCGTGGCCCTGCTCTGGGACGTGGGAAGATAAGAAAGAAGGAGGGTGAGTCGGCATGGTTGTGGAGAGATTACATTTTCAGGAAATGAGGGCTCAGAACAAGGCCTGGCCTAAACATGGCTGCAGGAGTGGCAAGAGATAGGATCAGAGGGAGGATGGCCTCAGAGAGTGTGGGGAAGAACTTGTGCCCAGAAGAGTCAGGGCAGGACTGGCTGGGCCCTGACGTAAGGCCTCTTGCTCAGAGTCACAGGCAAGATCAAGTGACCTCTCGAGGTTTCAAGACACGAAGAGACAAAGCCCAGAGCAGCTGGGGCCTGGCCCAGGCCCGGGCATGCCTGCTGACCCCGGCTGGATGGTGGCCTTGGAAACTGCTTCCTGCTCCGGTCAGGCCCCAGCTGGAGTAACCTTGGAGGACCTGTGACATTTCTCTTGGCCTCAGGTCAGGCCTGAGAGGGAGTAGGGAGGGGAGAGGGACTCCAGATTCCTGAACACCTTGGAGGGCCCTTCGTACCCTCCCACCCCTGTCCCCAGTGTCTGACAGGGTCGATCTTTAGCCCACACGGCCCAACATGGAGCCAGTCTGTCTGGCTCTACTTTCCATCTAGAGGCCTGGAGAAGATGTCTGCACAGGCCCAAGGCCCCCTCCTTGCTTGACCCGTTCTGTTCCCTGTCCCATCAGCCACAGCTCTCAGATCAGTCGGGCCCCACATTCCCCATTCTGTCTACTCGGAGCTTTTATCTTCTAATTCACATTGGGATGTGACCTGCCTTTGCCCACAGCTCCCTCTGCCCAGAATGCCCTTCTCACGGTCTCCATGTGTCCAAACCGTGCCTATTCTTCAAGGTTGAGCTCAAGTGCAGCTTCTTCCACAGAACCTCAAAATCCATTTAAGATATCAGACCCAGCAAGAGCTGTGGGGACTGGGCCAGGCGCAGTGGCTCATACCTATAATCCCAGCACTTTGGGAGGCCGAGGCAGGTGGATCACGAGGTCAGGAGTTCGAGACCAGCCTGACCAACATGGTGAAACCCCGTCTCTACTAAAAATACAAACAAATTAGCTGGGCGCGGGGCACACCCCCATAATCCCAGCTACAGGAGGCTGAGGCAGGAGGATCGCTTGAACCCAGGAGGCAGAGGTTGCAGTGAGCTGAGATCGTGCCCAATCTGCAACTTACTGTTTTATTTATTTTAATTTATTTAGTTTGAGATGCGAGTTCCACCTGTAGTCGCTAAGGCTGGAATGCAGTGGCAGCC